GCAAACAAAGAACACATGGATCCCTTGATTACGTTCATGCAGTTCTTTGGGGATCTGCAAGAAATCTTTCACACTCAGGTGAAAAGTATTTTTTTATTCATAGTTGATGGTTATTCCAAAAAGTTATGGGTATTTATCTAGAAGACTAAGGATGGAACTTTTGGAAATTTCAAAAGTTAGAAGGTTCTTGTCGAAAATCATACTGGCAAGAAGGTGAAGAGGATGAGAAGCGATAATGGCCTCGAGTTCTGCAATGAAGCTTTCAATAGTTACTGTAGTATGTCTGGAATTACAAAGCACAAGATTACTGCGAGTACTCCTCAACAAAATGGCCATGCTGAGAGATTCAATCTAACAATCCTGGAAAAGGTTAGATGCATGTTGGTTAGTGCTAGATTGAAGATACCTGATAAATAGGTGTCCCTCAACCGCCTTAGGGATGAAGACACCTGAAGAAGTCCGGTCAGGACATCCAACTAATCTCGACTGACTTATAGTATTTGGTTGTTTAGCCTATGCTCACATTAGGCAAGAAAAGCTCGAACCTAGAGCTCTAAGTTGTATGTTTCTTGGATACCATGAAGGAGTTGAATCTTATAGGATATGGTGCCTAGATCCAATTCATAGAAGGTGTATCGTAAGTCGAGATGTGGTTTTCAATGAAGTTGAGATGAATTTCAAGAAAAATAATGATGTTGGTCAAAGTACGGGGATCTTTGTAGAGGAGCTGAAATAGGAAGAGATTCATGTTGAGGTGAAGCACAGTGATGCTGAATTGCATAACCCAAATGAAGTCGAGGAAGAAACACATGATGTTTAAGAAATTGAGGAAATTGTTGATGACTGCCTGCTGAAAAGAGATATGTCGAGAAGGGTCATCAAGTCACCTCAAAGACTTGGTTATGCAGATCTCATAGATTTTGCCTTAATATTTACAAGCTATGAGGAGTCAAAATAAGACTGAATGGCTGAAAGCCATGGATAATGAGATGAAATCTTTTCACGATAACCATACTTGGGAGCTGATCAAGAAACCTGCTAGAGCCAAGTTAGTCAGTTGTTAGTGGATTTTCAAGGTTATGGAAAGAATTGAATGAGTGATATCGAAGATATTTAAGGCAAGGTTGGTTGCTAGAGGTTTATTCAGAAAGAAGTCGACTTCAATGATGTGTTCTCGCCTATTGTAAAGCATAAATCTATTACAATGTTGTTGGCCCTGGAAAAGTTCGACTTAGAACTTGAACATATTAATGTAAAGACAACCTTCCTTTATGATGATCTAGATAAAACAATCCTAATGAGGCAACATGAAGGGTATGCATAAAGACGAAAGGAAGGTTATGTGCGAAAGTTGAATAGGTCATTATATGACTTGAAACAATCTCCTCGACAATGAAATAGGAGATTCAAAAAGTTCATGACTATAGGTTTCACTTGGAGCCAGTTAGACCATTGTATTTACTTCGTATTTCGACCTAGAAGTTCACTTGTTATTTTTTTGTTTTATGTGGATGACATTCTCATAGCAAGCAACAATGTCGAGGATGTTATGAAGGTGAATGCTGAACTCGATAAGGAGTCTGAAATGAAGGATCTAGGAGTTGCGACTAGGATTCTTGGGATTGACATTTGGAGAGATAAACAGTAGTAGAGATTATGCTTATCTTAAGAGACATACTTGAGTAGGGTCCTAGTTTATGGGAGAGCCATGAGTGATGGAGAAGCTGAAGTCAAAGGATTTGTTGACTCTGACTATGTATGATGTATGGATACCAGAAAATCTCTTTCTAGACATGATTTCATAATGTTTGGTACAATAATCAGTTGGAAAGCTTCTCTTCAAAAGGTTGTTGCCTTATCAACCACTGAAGTTGAATATATTTCACTCACTAAAGTTGTAAAAGAAGCATTGTGGTTTGAAGGGTTTGTTAAGGAACTAAAACTTCAAGGTTAAGTTATCACTGTTAAATGTGATAGTCAAAATGTCATACATTTGTCAAAGAATTCAGAATATAATGAGAGAACAAAACACATTGATGTTAGGCTACATTTCATCAACGAGAAAATCGAAAGTGGAGAAGTCAAAATGATGAAGACACATCACAATGTTGTAGATTTGATCACCAAGCCATATCCAAGTAGCAAGTTATTCCATTGTATACAACTGATAAAGATGCATTATGAAAACTAGTTTGTTCCCTTGATGTTGTAGAGTTTATTTCAAGGTGGGGATTTTTGGTGTTTTTGGATCGAACTCTAGTCTCGACATGGATAACTTCATGTTTCAACAGAAGTAAAACATGTTGTAGTCGAAGTCTATTCAAACATGCAGGAGTCGAAGATGTGCGTGTTGTAGTCGAAGCATGTAGTTGTATAAGTTAACTTGTTGCTTAAGTTAGCTTAGTGCATAAGTTAACTTAGTGTTTAAGTTAACTTATAGTCTATAAATAAGATGCTCTCTCAGAAAAGGAAATTAGATAATGTCCATCTTATTTATAAGGAAAGAAAATTGGATAAACACCATTGTAGTGACAAGCCACGACTATGGTAGCTACCTCACAAAGCTAGTCTCGACAAATCGTGTCAAGTAAATCCACACACTTCAAACATTTACCCTCTTCAACATCTGTACTAATAAATAAGACCCACAATGAAGTTTGTCTTTTCCATATTCCTATTTTTGAGGGGATTAATGTTTAATTATGTTTTTTATCATTCAAATTGAGCTTAGGTCAAATTATCTTTTTCTTAATCACTTCCTTTATGATCCTAAATTTGTAGGAAATTAATTATATAACTTTTTGACTTGATCAAATCAACATTGGAGCTCTCATTAATCATTATCACATCCATAAGTCATATTAACATCTTCCAAGTCCTTAGACTTACTGATCATGTTTAGTCAATGACTCATTCGACTATCAATTGATTTTGCATTTATTGATTTCAAAATCAATTGATTGAGATGTAACTACAAAAAAATTCCAATCATTTACAATAATCTCCAAGCCCATCTAACCTTGGTAGCAATGTTTAGTCGTCATCTAAGAGTTATTAGTTGATTCTACATCTGTTGGTTCCTATGTCGATTGTTTGTGATGCAATTGATAATCAGATACTCCCATAGTCTAATTCTTTACCCAACAAATTATTAGTCATATTTAGTCATTGTTCGTCATTGATTCAACTATTAATCAATTTTACATCGCTAATATCATCGTCAATTGATTGTGATACAATTAATACAAAATCATATTATCATACAATTATAAAATATAAAATTACTTTATTATCTTCAAAGTAAAGTTTTTCTTAAGTTTAATGATATGCACTCCGACAATATAAAATATTATCAATTTACTATGTTATTAAAGTAATTTTAAAATATATATGTGATTTAAAAGAATACACATCATCAATTGATTGTCGGTGTAACTCGTTTTCGTTTGCATGCCATTTTTAAAGAAAAATAATACTATAAAAATATATTTATCTATATATGTTACCTAATAAATATCCTAAACTTTATCTTTTATATTGTTGCTAAATACAATTATCTAATAATTTTTACAGAAACCAGCATATAAAGTTTAATGTATAAAATAAAATTATTCAATAAAATTAATAACTAGGGGGTATATTCACCAAAAGCAAATAACTAAGTGGGGGCAACGGCACCCAATTCTAACCAAGTAGGGGTGTCCCTATTGCTAATGAATTGTTTTTTTTATTAAAGATAAATAAATGAAGGGATGTTGTCTCTGTTCAAAAAATAGGGTTGAAAATTAGATCCATAAAATACTATTAAAAAGTAGTATTGATATTACCACTATTTTTTAAAACCAAACAATTTAAATTTTAATATCTTTAAATTTATTTAAATAACCTAAATGTGTAAATACAGCTAATAAGTGATTGTATTGCACTCTGGTGATGGTCCCAGTTTGTGAACATTTTTTCAGTCACAGCCTCAATCCTAAAGAAATTATTATCTTAATCATATAATCAAATTTGATCAAGTTGTATGAAATGAAATGAATAATTTCTACAAATAACAATAATAGCACACCTTTATAACTCCTTAAGATGAATCATGTGAAAACTATACAATATTTATGACTAAGATAAAATTGCATATTAATTGAATGGTTCCACTAGGCACAATATGCATTATTCTTGTTTATTTGAAGCCAGGCAAATAGCACAATTACTAATTGATGTGCCTCACTGGTGAACTTCAAACCGTCGTGTCTCTTTCTTGGGATAGACGTGTAATACTTTGCTTCTAACATTACAATTTATATAGATTTTACAGTATGAATATGGACCATGGAATCTAATTCCTTCATTACCTTAACCTCTTTGGGTACCCAAAACTAGTTATATACTATTTTCAATCGTCTATAGTACCCAATAAACAACAATGGAATGGAACCTTTATATCATATTCACAAAATATTGATTATTTGTGAAATTTAGAAGTCAACCAAAGTGCTTTGCTAATTTAAATGTAATCTCAATCTAACAATTAAGAATGAACCGAAAAACCTAATGTGTCAAAATTTTAAAATTTAGATTTAATATGAATTATTCAATTTCACAAATAAACCCTAATGTATCTTCCGATGCAAGATTATTTGGTGGAGTTAAGTTACGCTCACAATTCAAGACAAATCTTAAAAGCAAATTTTGTATTTTTGTGAAGTTGAAGTCACACACGAAAATCTTAGACAAATCACAATTGACAATAGATGCTAAAATAAATTGACTTTACATTATGAAAGTGTGAATGCCTAATTAATAATGAAATCAAATTAAACAAGATTAGCATAGAGAATTAAAACCTTAATCTCTGTTACTACTACTATACTTTCATTGTTAATAAAGATTCCTCCAAAAGTTCCATTTTCTCTACAAACAAAAACAAAAAGTTCCTATTCTCTTCCATGAAAAAGCAACAAACATGTTTCTGATGAATGAGTTTCCCAACAAAACACCATTCAGCTACCACCTGCAGCCGTAGCAGCAGCCCAATTAGGAATCCCAATGGCAGAAGAAAATGGATCTGCGAAACAATCTCCAGCACCACCGAGTTGACTCAGTTCATCTAAACTCTCAAAGAAATCATCTGTCAACACAACATCAGATAAACCAAACTCATCTTCTCCTCCTCCTTCTTCTTCATCCATGGTAGAATCTTCCTTGCTCTCGGACTTTTGAACCTCTTCTTCTTCTGGAGAAGAGGGTGGTTTTGCAAGATCTTTGTTGGTTGTTTCACCTTGAGGTGGTGGTGTTAATGGCTTCTGACGAGATGAACCGGCAAGAGAGTTTTTGTGTGTTGGAGCAGGATGGTTGTGTTCAGATGTATATGTTACTATGAACATTGTTGGATCTGATCTGTTTCTTTCAACCTGTTTTCTCGCTAAACAACCTTTTGAACTGCTACATCTATAATAACCCCTGAAAAACATAAGAAAATTTCAATAAAAATGACTTCATAAATTGTTTTTGTTGAGTAAAATTTGCGGCTGAAAAAATTAATTGTTTTCTCTTGCAATTCACCTTGGATATGGTGAGCCTTTAATGGGTTTTTGTCCGTATTTTCTCCATGCCCATATGTCTGAAGAGAGATTCTCAACAGGTACTTCACAAACTTTCTTGAGCTGGTTTTTCCTGTGAAGAAACAAAACAAAAACAAAAACACATGATTTTTATGAGATGGTGAATTCAAGATCTCATTTTGAGTGTTATAAAAAAAAGAAAACTGAATTTATTATATTTTTACCTTCTTTTTGATCTTGGGTTGGTGAGAGAATCACCTTGGTGTGGTTGTTTGGTTCTCTGTAGTTGTTGTTTGTCTTGTGTTTGAGGTAATTTGGGTGCTACAGAGGAGGAATAAGAGAATGAAGAAAACAGAGGAGAGGTTTGTAAAGAAAGAGGCTCTGATCTAGAAAAGAAAGGCTTGCAAAGTTCATGCAACTCTTCAATGGAGGTTCTTGGTTCAAAAGGGTGTGTAGAAAGTGAGAAAGTTTGAGGTTTTTGTTCGGTGGTAAAGATAGAGGAGAAGGCAGAAGAAGGTTCGGGTTGGAGAGGGAAAACAGAGGAGGAAGAGGAGGAAACAGAGGGGGTAGGTGTGTTGGTGGAAGTGACGGTGGAGCAGCCTCGAACCACCGCATGGAGATCCCAATCTTGTTCTTCCATGGGTGAAGAGAGAAAGTGTGAGGTTGGTGTTTCGGTTTTGAGAGAGAAAGACAAAAGAAGGCGCTGACTTTTGATGAGGTGAAGAGAGATATGATATTACTACAATAAGTGGAATGGACTTTGTTTATATAGAGAGAGAAAAGTGGGCGTTTTTTACAAAGTCAAGTTAGAGAGAGAAAACTTGGTTGTCATTTTGGCATCTCTATGCTAATTTTATTGTTTTGTATCTTCATATTTTTAAAAAAAGTTCTGGAAATATTTTGAAAAAAATAAAATAATTTAATTTAATTATAAATATATAGGGAGCCAAATATATAAAGTGGCCTATAACCTATATTAATTGAGACATTAGTACTAATTTAAGTTGTTATGAATTCAGGAAATTGGCTTAAGAATCTGATGAAGAAATGGTATTGTATTGGATCAATTTCGGTTTCAGCAGCAGTATTTATTTACCATGGTAGAAAAAATAGTAGTAATTCTGTTTGTATTATTATTTGGCTTTGGTGCATATTCGATTGGCATTTTAGGCTGTGCCTCCTTGTTGGCTTCTGGTTTCTTCAATTTTAAATTCTGTTTGAATGTTGGCTCACCACTCTAATTTTGGGCCAGTTTAAAAAAAATTGTTTAAATAAAGGAATTAAAAGTGTATTTAAATTAATTAATTTTTTTTATAAGAATTTATCTTCCAATATATAAATACAGAAAATTAGATGAAGAAATAAACATTCTCATTTAATAATAATTACAATATATTTAATAAAAGAAAAAAAGGTTGATACACTATAAAATTTTTTTTCTTTGTCAACCAATGACGACCATGTATTCCGTCAAATCATACTAAAAATTTTAAACTAATTATATGACATGAAAAAATGATATATTTTTATTGCATAACAGTATAAAATATTTTTATACTATTTAATAAAATAAAATAAAAAATTATGTAAATGATAAGTAATACTATAATATATTCATATTTTAGTTTTAACTAATCACCTTAGTTGATAGTTCTATAAAAATATTAGAGATAAAGGCGCAGATTTAAATATATGAAGTTCCAGTGATTTACTTTAATATGCAATATTGTTAAAATTTGCTGACTTAATATATATATATATATATATATATATATATATATATATATATATATATATATATATTTGTATATTTAGAGATTTAACACACTACTCTTAAATTCAAATCTTCTTATTAAAAAAAATTCTATCATAAAGTGTCCTTCAATTTAATATAAATCATTCAAATATATGTCTCATTTTCTTTTCCATTTTTTTCTTTATATTAGTAATGGCTTTATATGTTATAGACGGAGAGACACGGGTAGTAGTGTTTAGGGGGTTGACATGAGAAAATGTCAAAGGGGCGTGAGAATGTGCTGAGGATTTGATGAAAGAGGTAGGAAAGTCCACACGCTCTACTTTCTTTATTATAGAAGACAGGCTTTTGTAACTTATGCCGACAACATTTAAATTTAATAATGCCTCAACTACTGACGTATCACTCGTTTGTTCCCATCTTTATTTAAATGTTTTTTTTTAAGAAAAAAGAAACATCTTAAATAATTCTTCCCTTTCAGAATTAAAAGTAAAAATAGACCACACCAATTAAGGGTTGTGGATTTCTTTAAAACAATTTTTTTAAAAATAAAATAAAAAGTCATCTTTATCATAAAACTTTAGCAAAAAAATAATTGAGAGTAATGTTAAAAATAAAAAAATAGTGAAAAATTCATGTTTTCTTTATTCGGTTAATCTGAAAAAAATATTAAATGAAACTAAAATCTTAGATCTAAGAGTGCAGATTATTATAAATAATAACAATAATATTTTTTATTATTATATAATATTTTTTTAATAATTTATTCACTCTAAGAAGCCGTGGTGATGGCGGATCAAGATTTCAGATGCGGTGGAGTGAGAGAATTTGCAAGATTAACACTCAATCGCTCAATCACTATATGTAAGACAGAAAAGTAAAGTAAAATTGAATTTGAAAATTGTTACTTCAATTTGGCACCTTTTCTATATATAGAAGAAAATAGCGACCTAGCTATTCGTTAAGAGTGAATTGCGGAGAGTCATTGGATGTATTTGCAATTGCGATTCTTTGTAATCATCAGGGTGATAATTGTTGTGTGCTGAGAAGGACCTGGAAGGAGTGTGGTTCCCTCTTAGTGGTCGGCAGGGATCAATATGGTCAGCCCAAAACAATTTCCCTACAAGCCCTTGCATGTGAGTAGCAAGGCGAAGACTTGGTACATCAGCCTCAAATGTCGACCACTCCATCAATCACCTTCGTACGAGCGAAGGAGAAACATTTTAGTTTCTTGGGAATTCTTGCATTCAATGCTTCAAAACGTCTTTTCAGAAGTCATCATTGCTCATGGGAATCAAAACTCTTGAGTACTTTGTGCAAGTGATTTGACACGTTTAGTGGATTCTTTTTGCATGCTAGATAATGGTTTTTAGAATAGTTAACACTACTTTCTTTAAGTCACTTTCCCAGTTTTAGCAATCATCTTCTTCTTTGGCATTCTTACTTTCATGTATATAAAAAGTTAGTTGTGGTATTTTGATCAAACTCTAGTGTTGACAAGGATAGCTTCACGGTTTGACATGAGTTGTGTATGCTGTAGTCGAAGTCTGTTCGAGCATAATGTCGAAATATATTAACTTGTAATTTAAGTTAGTATGTCGAATTGGACTTTTCTTCTAAGCCCAATTGTTAAGTTAGCTTATATCCTAAGTTAGCTTAGTAGTCTATAAATAAACTAGTTCTCTCAGGTTGTTGAGAGAGATTAATTATTGATATTCACTTGTAATCTTTGAACCCTTATTGAGAAAGTGAATAGAAAAACATATTTAACCAATTCATATTCTTCTTCTTCCTCCTTCTTCTCTCCCTTTTATAAAACCTAATAGGGTATCTTGTGCTTGTTCAAGAAACACAAATCTTATTCTCATGTTTTGGTTTGTTCTTGATGACATCAATTCACAACAAACTGGTGTGGTAAACGTGGATGAGAAGATTTCATCAACAAAGTATGAGATTGAGAAATTCACTGGTGTGAATAATTTATATTTGTGGCGCTTGAAGATGCAAGCCCTTCTTGTTCAACAGGGTTTGTTAGAAGCGTTGAAAGGATCTGAGAAAATGGATGTTGCTCTATTGGGGAAGGAGAAAACAACGATGGTCGAAAAATCCCACAATGTCATTATGTTGAGCCTTAGTGATAAGGTTCTTCGGCAGGTTCCAAAGGAGAAAACTACAGATGGTGTGTGGACGAAACTTGAAAGTTTGTATATGACAAAATCGTTGGTTAATCGTCTCTACCTGAAACAAGTTTTGTATTCATTTAAGATGAGTGAAGACAAAGCCTTGGTTGAGCAGCTGGATACATGGTTGTCAAACTCGTGAGTAGACTCGTAAACTCGTACATATAATCGTTTTTTGATAGACTCGAGTAGACTCGGGTAGACTCGTACAAACTTGTATAGACTCGTGAGTCTATGGCGAATTTACGAGTCTATAAGTTTTTTTTAATTTTGTTTTTTTTAAACATTAAAGGCCTAAGCTATCCAAAATATTTATTTTATTTAAATAAAACCCTTATTTTGTTTGCTTATACAAAAATTAGAAAACATGTCTCCTAGTCTCTTGTTTCAGCAAAGTTTCTTCCTCCCTTCATCGGCGGTGTGCGTTTGTTCTATCTCTTGCTTTGTTCGCGTTTGTTCCAGCAAAGTATTTTCTTATATGTTTCACTTAGATGTTTCTCTTGTATATTCTCTTGCATAAAAATGATGAATGGATAGTCGAAGATCCCAATGAAGAAAATTTGCAAACTGAAGTTTATGTTGAGAAAGATGATGTTACTGTTAACAATGTTGTGGAAGTTGATGATGTTATTACTAATATTGTGCAAAGTGGCGATGGTGGTGGTAATGTTGAATTAGGTGGAAGTGAACATCTACCAATCCAACTTTGGTTAATTATGAAGAAGATGTTTCATCTGAGACAGAGTTTGATGATGATACTCAAGATACCGATGACGATGATGATGATATTGGTAGTGATGATTTTAGTGGAGCTTTGAATATTTAAAGTCATTAGTATATCTGTTTATGATTTTTTCTATATGGATTAGCCAATTAAAAAGAAATTAGTACTTTAAGTCTTTAATTACATACTTTGCTATTTTATTTGTTTTATTATTGAATTTTTTTGTTACGAAATTTGTTATGGAGTATGAAGTTTAAAATTTGATGTTAATTGGTGTTCTATAATATATATTTTTATCATATATGAGGCATTTAAAAATTTAAAAATATATGTGTGTGTCATGTACGTGTCACATACAGGTTTTTGGAAGTCGTTTTTAATTTTTCATAGAGTCTGCGAGTCGAGTCTACAGACCCTTTACGAGTATGAGTAGATTCGTGAGTTTGACAACTTTGTTTGAATATGTTCAACAAGTTAATTCTTGATCTTAAAAATATAGAGGTTAAGATTGATGATGAAGATCAAGCGTTGTTGTTGTTGTGATCTTTACCTAAGTCCCATGCTCACTTCAAAGACACTCTCTTGTATGGAAAATAATCGTTGACCTTTAGAGATGTTCAAGCTGCCTTGTACTATAAGGATTTGAACAAACGAAAGGAGAAAAATCCATCTTCTGTTGGTAAAGGTTTGTCCATTAAGGGGAAATTCTTGAAGAAAGATGGTAGGTTTGAGAAGAAGAAGGGTAAAGTTCTACATAATTCTTATGGTGGTAATACTTATACTATTAAGTATTATCATTGTAAGAAGGAGATTCATACAAGAAAGTATGCCCTGATCATTGGAACAATCATGGTGGAAAGGATAATGGTAATGCAACCATTGTGCAAGATGGTTATGAATCATCTGATGTCCTGGTGGTTTCAAGCAGCGACTCTAGAAAATAGTAGATTATGGATTCAGGGTGTACTTGACACATGACT